TGGGACTGGCACAAACAATGAACATACAAGGAATTAAGATCCTGAAACAAAATGGGACTGTACGTTACCCATCGCATCCGTCAAACCCTACAAACCATGCTTAGGATACTAAAACATAACATACATAATGCTGAAACTCAATGCACTACTTAGCTTGTTCATCAGTGACACGTATCACAACCATGAGAAACAACTAACATGGACAAACAATTGAAGAACCAAACTTTTGTTCCTCTCCCTCTGCCCTCCTCCCCCCCCACTCATCTTTCCATTCCATTCCCTTTTATTCATCCTCCCACCCACGGGTTGTTTGACAAAACAAGCACAATGTAAGGCAAATTGTAATAGACAAGAAAAGTGTAGAGTAAGTCACCTGCAGGTCTCTTTGTACCTACTGCTTGTCTTCATGATTTTTTGACAATAATTTTTCTTTTTTAATGTACAATGAAGATCCAGCTTATTTTTAAAAACGCAGTACAAAGAACTGCTGTTTATAAGCCCACGTACAGGAAAGCTTGATGAATAACTATGGCCATCTCCATCACGGGGATTCCTCTATGGAAAAAAAGTCTCATCTCAGAATCATCTACATTCAAAACACACCTACCACCTTCCTTTTGGCGTATGATATATTACAAGTTCTGTTTTTTACTTCTTGATGCTCGATATCAACAGTTACTGCTCTGGCACTGGCACCATTAACTGCCTATTTTCCAAGCAACTCAATATCTTCAAAACCACACACTCTTAATCCTACCGCACCTTATTTTAATTAACAAGGTCACAGTGAGGTTTTGTTATTATGAGTTTGACTTCCAAAGAGAAAAATAAGCATGTCAGCTAATGATTTAACTGAAAAATCTCAGGAAGGTTTTCATTGGCTAATTATATCTGCTTGCTCTATTTACCTTTCCAGAACTTCAGCTCTTTTTAGAGCAGTGCTCACTATCTCACTTCAGTCTCAAAAACGTGTTTGAACAGACCTGTTCTCCATTGAGTGGAAAAAAAAAAAAAAAATACAATAAAATCAGCTTAAAATAAATTTATTAAACAATACAAAAATAAGCATGCTAGAAATTGAGATACATAAATAACATACAATGCAAATGAAAAATGGAAAATGAGACAGGGAACTTAACAACCGAGCCAAAGGGTACAACACAAATGCCAAAATAAAACTTGAAAAGCATTTACATTTCTAATGAAATGTTAATGATGCTGACAAGGAAACAACAAACAAACAGCTAAAATGCTTGAATATCAAGAATTGCTATTACTGTAGCACAGGTGAACACTAAAACCGTTGCAGACTTCAAACATTCAATAACTAGCCTCTACCACCACATTCTTTCAGGCCCACTCTCCAAGCAGTAGAGGTGTGGGCAAGCTGCTAGGGCAGATCTAACTATGGTCCCAGCTCACTCTCTGTGCAGGCTGCCCTTAGAAAGGGCCACCTGTGGACAGCTCAGGCCAGATTGCAGGCAACTTACAGAACAATTGGTCCAAAGGAGTCTCCTCTTAACCCCTCCAAACTTGAGGCTGGCTTCAATTCCGAGACAGGCTTCAAAAGCATTACGGAACCAGAAAATATACAGATCTGTCTAAAGTAAAGGCTGTGCAAGCTGTACCTGAAATATGATTCATACTGAAGATCAATTCAGCTCCTTGCTTTTTTTTTTTTTTTTTTTTTTTTAATTTTTCAAGCAGGACTCGCCTCTACCACAAGCTTTGGTATGCAATTTACACACATAAACACGGTAAAGACTTGGATTTCCCATCTCCAAATGCACTTTTAGTAGCTGCAAATCCTGCATCACACATCCTTTTTTAATTACATCAGTAATTTCATCAGCAACATATAATCACTGAAAGTACTTCTAGTTAGCAGCACAGACACATTACCAGCCCCTTCTAATAGGGATATTTCAGGCTAACACACAGTTTTGCAGACTCTGAATCCTTGTTACGTCTCTGTAGCTGCTATTAAACAGACAAGTCCTCAAACAGATGAGACATTTTTATAACTCGAGACTCGGCCTTTACATGACTCACTTCATTTTCAAGGTAAGCACTGACAAACCTATGCCAAACATCAGTGACAGATTACAAAATAACTAATATTCAGCAATTTATTACTGACGTGCACACAATCCACTAGGACTTGATGTTTACTGAATAGTGGCTCTCCGTATTGTTTTGCTTAAATATTTTAATTCAGAGGCTTCAAACACAGGAAACTCGTCCTTTTACAAAGTACTGCTAGAGGAAGATCATTCTGGGTTAGGTCAGAGCTTAATACTAGCATTATTTCAAAAGCTTATGCAAGACAAACAATACCGAAACAACATCATTAAAAACAGCTTGTGTTCTCAGAGAAAGTAAGCTTTGCTTTCTGCATCTTCCTTGACTGACATCTACATGAGACAAAAAGGGACAGGGAAACCATAACTCTCCCCTTATGCAAAACTGATGTACGAGTGCATTTTGGAGTTTCAGATCACCAACACAGGGGAGCAGTGGGCAGGGAGAAGGGCTGGAGATGTTACAAGGAATCATCTATCACACTACACCTCTTGAAATCCTCAAGGAGCTTTAATGGACATAGATGAAGGAATATCCGTATCACCACTCAGACAGGTTTTCCTACAGTTTTACAGCAGGAACACCTGCATGAGGTGTGCCTGGGAGGGGGAGGAGGGGGGGGAAATATATCAAATTCTTTGCAAGCATGACATTTTACAGACAGAGGTTTGTGTTGGCGATTTGGTTTTCTTTTCCTTATGATTTTCAGTATCATTCAGAACCTCATAGAACAGCTAAGTGTCCAGGGCTTATTAACTCTGTGCCCTGTCCAGCACTGCCTAAGGCCTGCACACACCATTTGCACATGGTCCTCAAAACAATTCAAATTATCGTGTTGCATAGATTGAGATGCAGTTTCCTGCAGAAGAATGCAAGCCCTGATTCTCTACAAGCTGACATCGGTAGCAACTGGCTAACACTTTAAAAAGGAGCTATGAATAATAGCTTCATAAACATTTGCTCATGTAGGAGTCAATGCTACCTCTAATCCCATATATGAACATGCACACACATTAGCGGCTGAAAAATAAGTTAAGTGTAAACAGCTGGAATATCTAACAAAAAATGCTTTACTCTGAACACGTTTCCTGCTCCCTGCTGGGCTGGTGACCAGTCAAAAACTAGGATTGCTTACATTCCTCTCTGGGGTGGAGCACAGCATTATTACTAAGGCAGACTTCTGAGTCATAACTACCAAGAGGCAGCACAAGCAGCTAGCAAGACACTCAAAATAGTTTGGTGAGAAATCTTTCTGCCACATTTGTTAACTTGCAAACAAGGCAAGCTTTGTTTTGCCCTCTCTCCCAGTCCTCCCCAGCCGTTTTTGCTCTTTTATTTACATGTTAGCATTAATTATGACTGAAGGTCAAATTAAAAAAAGTGTACTTTTTGCTAGCACGGCATATCAGAGGGACCCATCTCTGCTCAGAGCAAACTGCAAGTTCTTACTAAAATAAAGTGATAACGTGACTCAGAACCACTTAATATACAGTTATTTGGAGATTCATGAGTTTACTGACAGTATTTTACTTTATATTTCCATTAAAATTCTTTATATGCTGAACCTGATCAGAGGACATACCTTAAACTCTTGCTTAGCTCCACAATTAATTTACTTAAAATTCTTAGATATAAACAAAAATACACAGATATACACAAGAGGTATATCTTTGAAAACATTCAGATCTACTATTTTTTTTTTAATAAGTAATTGTGCTTAAATAAAGACAGAAGTCAGTTAACAGGTTTGGTTTGTGTTGCTTACGTGTGCTTTTCTCCTTGAACTCTGACAGCATTTTTGGTATAGCATACAAATTTACACAAAATTTATAATATAAATGAAAATACCAGGCAAACAATACTCAGATTGAAGTTGAATCTAGAGATGCTTGAGGCTTTTTTAAATGTAGTATTTAATGAAACTAGAACCCATTCACTTAGTTCTGCTCTCCCCGACCTTCCATTCTATACACTATGGTTCTGGAGATGTCCTCGTTTGATTCAGGTGACACTTTTTTCCATACTGTTTCTTTTAAAGCAAGTTCTTGCTGGAGATTCTCATAGTCCATTGGTCCAAAGGAATGCTAGTTGTTCAAGCAACATACATTATTTATTAGTGTGTTTGAAGGAAAAAAAAAAATCCTAATTTGCAATCATTGCTAACAGACCCAAGTTCTTCACCTCTTCGCACATACACTGTTGTTTTCTGTTTTCCAGTTACAAATAATTCTACTTCCTCTTTGGGTATTTTTTCAGATGTATGCGTGCAAGAAGCACTTCAAACCATTCTTTTATCTTCTCCCATTGAAAGCTTCATGCCTAACTTAAAACATTAGCGGGACTAAAAGCGAGCTTTTCCCTATCTCAAGTACCCTCACGCTCTTATCTTTTGTACATAGAGCTGGATTAGATTCACTTCTTTCCCAGACTGCATCTACTGCTTCCTTTTGGTAACAGGCACTGGGGTACAGCAACGTGAGGCCTCCATTCATTGCCTGTGCAGCTCTCAGCAAGCAATGTGGACTCAGAGACATCACTGTAAAACAATACTCAACATACATCTCCTGCATTGCAACACAGAACAGGAAGACTAACATCACCTGCTGATCATTTTTTTTCTTTTTAAAATCAGAACAGAAACTGCTGGTGACTTTTATCAGATACCACAGCCTTACTCTAGCCAAGGAAATGAATTGCACGAGATAGAGCTACAAATCTGATATAAAATTCTGTGGTAAAGAACTCTGTCATTGTGTGGTCCACCGAGGTACGTGTCCACCAAAAATGTACACTAACTGGCTTATCTGAAAGCTCTGAGGAAATACACATCATTGAGCAGTTTTGCCTTTAGAGAAGAACTCTCCATGTCTCATCTGATGGCTACAAGCAATACTCACTAAAAACACATCTGAACTTACCCGCTGATCACCACCTTCGCGGCGAGGATCGAGCTTTTTCGCAAAGTGTCTCAAATTATCATAATTATGGAAATTGCACAGAGAAACCAGATCCTGCAAATATTGAAACAACAAATTATTCTCCATGTACAACTGTCCAATGCATATGATACTCTAATACTAGCACTTGTGCTTTACACAGGACTATCCACAGCTCTCAAGAGACAAAGCCAGGACTGCCTAGCCTACCTCAACAACTTCATCTGACGTAGAAGATATTTTTGTATGCCAGATTATTTTCCAAAAGCTGCTTACGATCGTTTTAAAGATTGGAACACAATCAAAACAATTACATTTCATCAAAATCTTTTTTATTGCAATGATATGAGTTGCACTTCTAACATTTTAAAAGCTGTTTCTGAGTGTAAAGGAAGAGAAGCTTCCAGATCAAGTTCTACACCTTCTAATGCAGCATAAAGGAGACTAATGCCTTTGTTAAGTCACAAAGCATTCCACTGCCAAGTATGCCCACAGTCTACTTCCCCATATTTCTGGCATTGTAGTTTCTAGACATTCCCAAAATTTAAGTGCTGTTTATGATAAAATGCAAACATCTTGTCTCAGTTTTTCACCCTTGGATCAAATGTAATCTGTTACTCAAGAAAGAATTAAAATTAAAAAAAAAAAAAAAAAACAAAAAAACAACCCACTATATTAGTGGACTGTCAGCTATGCTAACTGAAGCTCAGTTAGCACCAGCTACAAAAGAAGACTAGGCTAAAGGTAATTTTGCTTACATGACAGAAGTGAATCCCTTTAACACTGTTGCCCATCTTGTCCAAAGGAGGTGACCAGCACATTAAGCCCATGACATTAGGAACAACCAGAAGGATCCCACCAGCAACTCCAGATTTCGCAGGAAGGCCCACCTATGAAACAATTAGAGAATTACCTCTGCAAACATTCGTCACCCCTGTAACACATGCAATTTATTTTACCAAAGATTATTATTTTACCAAAGATTACACAGCACTTATAAAAGTGTGATCTATAAAACACTGACAAAGCATGATTATTTCTCTTTATAGATGGACTACAACCTCGACCTCAGTTCACGGCAATCTGCAGTATGTATTCAAAGTTATTAGCTCCCAATAACACACAAGTCAGTAACACAATGCAAAAGATAACCCAAAGTTGCTGCTGTAACAAAGCTGTTATGACTCAGCAGTAATAAACACGTCTGTCATGAGCAGTTCACAGCATGAGAGTAGTACAAAACTATATAAATATTTAACTGAAAATGCAAAAAAAGAAAAAACAAAACCAACTGAAAACCTGCACATTAATTCATTAAACAACCTACTTATTTATTATCTGAACAAAGTTACTGTTTTGTTTCAATAGTAACTAACATGTCACATATCCCCAACAGCTCAGTAAGCAATAACTTTCTAGGTCACACAAAACATCACGCTCAATTTTACATCCATGCAATGAGGAAAATTGAAAACACTCAAACCACTGAACATACAAGTAAGTTGCAGTACGTACTTCAATACTCACACAACAGGGTTTGTTTCCTAGCCGTACATTACAGTACACGTGCTGTGCACAACATCACTATTTCAACATATGAGGACAACTCATTAAACATCCTGAGTCAGAGAAAGCAACTGTTCACAAAAGCTTCCTGCTATCTTCTATTTCCCTTGCCTCAGGTCTTATTCAGTTCTGCTGCTTCCAGTGATCGCTGCATCAGTCACCTACTTCTCTCACCAATAGCCTTTTTTAGTTTGTTTCAGGTTGAAAAGGATTCCCAAATGCAAAACTGCTGGGAACACCACTGTACAATGAGGTATGGAGTACAAGTAGTGCCATGGATTCTGAGGATTTCACGTAAGTTACGTTGGATTCCTAAACAATTCACGTAACTCCTCCCCACCCACAGCAAAAGCAAACTAGATGACTGTGGAAAACAATAGCACAGTCTATCAATCTTCCCAGTCAGCTCTAACAAGTATCTGAAAATTACTTACATGGAAGGCAAACTGCCCTGAGAAGTCATACATGCCACAGGAATGCATTAAGCTCAAGGTATTCCGGACTGCTTCGGGACTCAGCACTCTTTCACCAGTGATTGGGCAAAAGCCACCGTTAGCCAGAGTTGCAGCCATCACACTTGCTGACTCACAGGTTACTTCTATTGAGCAAAGCTTATGGAAAAGAAAGTCATATTATACAAACTGGTACCTCTAGCACAGTCAGCACAGCCCACTACATCTCCACAGAAATAAGATTTCATAAAATAACCTGCAGCATAACATTTGTTACAGATAACACTAGTGGCATGAAATAGCATCATCTGAATCTTACTACTGTCAAGATACAAAGATCCCAGCAACAGCTTTTGTTTTATACTAATATACTATAACAGCTTTTTTTTTAATATACTAATCTTTGAGTTATTATTAATTGTGAGTTTAGTGTTTCAGTTTGATTCCTTCCCCCAACCCCCCTTAGGTTGCCTTGAGAGGAACCAGCCTGGAAAATAACCTCAGTATTCTGTATTTGCTTAATTGGCAAAGCCATTAAGGAGCCATTTTTCAAATTGAGGTGCAGTGCTTTGTTGGTTGTTTTTTTTTAAGCCTTACAAGACCACCCACATCCACTAAAAGTACATTTCAAAGCTGCGCACACTAGCACATACAAGTCTTAATGCTAGCATTTCCTGCATAGCCTTAGTTTTACCTTTGTCTCATATATGCTTTATGATGTATCTAGAGATAATGACCACATGATAGTCTCACCCAGGATCCCTGCTTCAGTACAGACTATACATACTTTGGTGACACATCAGGAAATGTGATATGATGCCATCACCTGATGCTGCCTCATGTCTGCAGAAACCAAAAGATAAGCTGGTTTCAACCTGAAGCTGAAATGCTACTCTGAAAAATAAACAAACTAGTGCTTGTACTTTTGCCAAACAGTCATTACATGATACTTCATGAAGTTACCTAAGCCAAGTTTGCACGAGTAGTTACTACCTGGAATTCTTATTTTCCGGCTGCCAAACTCAATACATCCTAGTCCAACCAACTGGAGTTGCAAATCAAGAGAACGTCTGAGACGCATCTAAAATGGCAACTGGGTTTTAAACATACGAAGTATTACAGAACATCGCCTACGTTGAAGAAAGTGCTTCAAGGTTCTCAGTTTAAGTGCCTACATTTTGTACCTCGGTTGAGCAAAATTAGAGTAATCCTTCCCCACTTTACAGAGGTAACGTGAAAGTAAGTTCATTACTGGTTCCCAATTGAACAAGTAAGGAAGGAGGGAAAAAAAAAAATACCTTCTAAGTAGAATCTGAGAGCAGAAAAAGCAGCTTTGTGCAATGAAAACAAAACACTGACTTGCCACTCGGAGTGGCACTCGTGTACGTGCCTCCAGTTTTCTGAGTTTGGAGTAAAAAGGACATTTTAACAGGGATAAGAAAGAAACAATGGGAACCATGAAGGTGAGGACAACAAGGCCAAGCTGTAGCTACATCAGGAAACTTAGTTTTGGCCTTTCTTAACTTGTGAAAAGCTTAGTGCTCAGAAGCACACCAGCACTTGAGGCAGTGGGATAGGAAGCATTTTGCAAGGATGGTTAACCAGTAAATTGAAATAAGTTGTCTGCTTTGTTCTGTGATAACACGAGTTCAGAGCAGACTTTCAGTTTTCATCTAGTTTTCAACTTAAGAAGTCAACTGAGTTGAATTTACATACACACTGTAAAGCTCCATTCACTTTCAAGACTAGATGTGCAACCCCAAACAAAAAAAAGGCTCTGACAAAATTTGCACTTAAAAACCACTAGTTTGCACAGGTAAGAGCAAGTATCATGAATTTAAATCAGACTTCCTGAGAACTAACTCTGGATTTTTTTTTAAATATCCCAGACAGACTGGATCAGTAACACAACTTGAACTGCCTCTTGAGAACTGCATGCACAAGATCTGACTGAATTCTGAATTATGCATATTCTCATGTTAGGAAACTCTTTCTTTAGGAAATACCTCCCACTTGCCAAGTTCTCATTTTGCGACAGTTGCAAACAGTTACTAAGGTGAGGCAAGCAGCATGGGGGAAGGAAGAAGGCATTTGAAAAGATACTTTGTCTTATATGCATCAAATTCAACAATAAAGGAAAAGACACTCAAGTCATTTCATTTATAACACTATGGCTGAGCTTACAGTATGGCATGCAGATACAATTTTAGTTATGCATGAGTTCAACATTCTCCACAGTATCATAAAGTATAGCAAATTCATTCAAGTAACACAACATTTCAAGCTTCTGAACTGCTAGTGCTTCATAGACTGCTACTAGTATGCATTAGCAATAAAGCAATAATAAACACTTACATAAATCACTTAAACAAAAGCAAATCTGGATATATCAAATGTATACAGTTCACTTCCAAACAGTTTAACAGACACTGGCAACTTTAATTACAAGACATTAAAACCTCCCCCATCTATGACAGAACAAGTTTCTATTGCTTAGTACAGTAATTCCAACCCCATTCTGAGTCTCAATTTCAGAGCTAATTACCTGAAAATAAAAGTCCAGTATAGCAACCATATCTGTGCCTTCCGGAAAGCACTGAGGAAGGGAAAAAGAAGTCTTTAAGTACAATTAAGCAGCTTTAAGTTTTTCAACAACAAAATGCATCCAATCTTACAAAGTCATCTGTACAACACGGATTAAGCATTTATGATGTGATAATTCATCCTGTAATACAGAAATGAGGTTACGGGTATTGTTAAAACGACGTAAGTATTCACACCCTACAAAAGGCTGGGCATTTTGAGTGACAGTATGAAATACATGTACAGTATTACAATAATGTACATGATCGTGAACACAAAATGAAACAAGTTTTAAAAGTTCATAGACTATGAAAAGCATTCTTCAAAATACAACAAACATAAGAGACCAACCTTTTTCTCTTTCAAGTAATAGCCAATTGCAAAGTTTCTATCTCCACTCTCTCTTTCAGACTGGAACCTTGAAACCAAGCAACAAGAAATCAGAAATGCATGATGTAACCCATTAAAACCACAGGTAAAAAAATACATTGCTTCTGAACACAAGCATTCTACTAACAGACCAGAAACTGCCCTAAAACTCATCCCAGTGCACTCTGTTCAAGTGTAGTTAGGGTCAAACTTCAACATCTGAACATACACATTACTGGTTACCTATACATACACAGTTTTACTTTTATTTAAGACAAACAAGTAGAAGATCATTCTTTTAAAAGCATTTCTAAAAAGACAGTAATAGACTGAGACCTCTGAGAATAAGCTGCAGCAAAAGCATCATTCGCTGACAGCTGCGATCAAACCAGACAAGGAATGAATGCCAGAAAGCTAAGATGTGCATTTACAGCTCTCAGAGCCACGGCACCACAGCACTACGACAGAATAATTTCTCAAGGAGAAAATGATTGCTTCCATATCAGACCAGTCACAGCAACACAGAAACATGCACAACTTCATTTCTTGCTAATTTTAAGCCCAAGCTATTTCCTGTAAATATTAAATGATGCCTTTCAACATAAATAACTAAACTTCGTCGTGCATTCAACATGCCAACTATCAGTTGAGGTATTAAGCATATAAAAAATACTTACGTAGCATTACTGAATCCAACATATTCATTACCAGCCATTTTATTCATGAATTGCATAACCTGTTAAAGACAGAGAGGAAGGGGGAAAAAAAAAGAGGCAAGCTAACATTTTCAGATGGAAGAATTACAACTGTTCAACACTCAACCCAGCCTTACGCTAAGCCTGTCTCTTGCATCATAAATTTGCAATCACAGCCCAAATCATTATATCTTTTATTCAGCCAAATTCAGATCAAGGAGAGTTTGAAAGGATTTAAAATAGCAATGTTAACTGCAGGTGGAAATTTAAGGTGGCTACCACCCATTTTAGTCAGAATAAACCAAGTGTCATAATTCACTTACGTAGTCAAATTTTTCTGCATTATTTGCTCCTTGCTGCAAGAAAAGAAAAAATAATTTACAAAGAATGTTAACATGGGAAAGAAGTTAGTTCACTTAACATTAGGATATTTATTGCATAAAACTAAGGTATGAGGCTAATTAAGAATACGGTACTACAGTCATTTCACATACTAACAACAAACTAAGGTGTTAGATAAGTAAATCTTTAATTATCACTTAAACAAAAAATTATTTAAATAAAAAGCAATCTAAGAGTTATCCAACACCTGCACGTTGGAATGAATTTAAGCTGAAGGAGGTATGCTTTGTTTTAAGTGTTCTCTACTCAACTTTACGTGTTTAACACAATAATAGTTAAAGCAAGAAATACAAAAATAACTGCAGGCAGGATAATTATAATGAAAACGTTAACTTTATATAGATTAGTAAACACAGGTAATCTTACATTATCAGCAGAGCTGAGCATAGCAAAATGCAGGCTACATAGGCTAAAATATTTTCCATTGCTAGTGCCCATACTACAGATTTAGACTGAAGACTTAGAATAAAGTGTTACCCTTACTGTGAAAATAACTGCATTTAATCAAATGTATCTGATTTAATAGCTGATTAACGTCCTACCTATTAAAAAATTAAACAGAAAAATAAAATTTCACATCATACTGCAGTACATCATCAAGTACATCATTTTGCTAGCAACGTAAAGAAAAGTCTAAAATGTGTGAGGATGCTAGTGAACATTCATTCGTAGGGTCAGGGGACACTTCATTTGGTTTTTTGTGTCGGTCTTTTTCCGCCCCTTTGGGAAGGGGGCATGGGGACACAGGTGTGAAAGGTTGCACTCGGGGCTTTTTTCTCTTTTATAGGAGTAAGCTCAATTTTAATAGCTGCCAGTAGAGGATGTGTTACTTCTTTACGCTCTGACAAACAACTTGTAACAAATTCCTCCAGCTAGACATTGAAACTGGGCTGGGAGATTTAAGAACAGTGCATGGTCTGCTGGGGGACAGGAGGGGCTGAGCAGGAAATCTTTTAAAGTAGCAGCTTTTTAGGAAGTTTAAAAAACAGTGGCATCACGTACACAAGTGGAAACAATACATCTGGGGAAGATGCTCTCATCTTCAATATTGAGATTATTTATATTTTATTTAGATAAAATACTCTGTTTAGGAAGCTCTTTGAGATACTACTTGCACAGTGTTCAGTATGGGGATGGGGGAAAAGGGGAAAAAACTGAAACTAGATATGAACCAGTATTTTACTTAATGAAAATGCATAAAGCCAGCCTCATTTCCCACTCTGGCTATAGTTTAAGGTGCTGCAGGTAGTCTCTGCAGCCCATGCACCAGCTCAGCTACAAGATGTGCAGTCACACACGTACAGTCACTAGCTGAAAGTAACACCACACTGCTTTGTCAAAATTACACACCCATGGTTACCTTATGCTTAGCCTTACACTTACAGTCAGTCTCTTGCTAATTTGTAATAAAAAAATATAAATGACATTTCATCAAAATGTTCCTGTTTAATACACCAGAACACAAGCCTTAAAAATTTAACTCCAAATCTGTTCAATGAAAAATAATTAAAAGAAGAAATTACCAACTTCATTGAACTGTTGCAGTTGTCAAAATATTCCATAGATCCTAATGCTGTAAAATATGTAACAACATTTAAACCACAAAAACCTTTTCAAACCTTTCAAATGCACAATGAACATCTTTTCTGGGAAAGTGGGTCAGCATTAGTTATGGGATGCTGCATTGATAATTGTATGGTTAGACATAATAAATCAAAACATTATCTTTTGTTAAAAAAAGAAAGAGGGAGAAAGGGATCATGCTTTCTGCAAAAATAGAAATACATCATAATTCACTTTTTTTTTCCCAGCTGAAAAAAGAATCCCTTGCCCTTCAACAAAAACCTGGCTTTTCCAGCATCCTATACAGTTTGTGGGCAAAAGACCCAATGCAAACTTCTTCTGCATTAACTCATAAAAAAGGTTCCTTTGTAGCGGTTGCATCTACTCCACATTTTAGGAATAAAACCTTCTGCACACTACATCAAGATGATGCATTTTCAGTCCTTGATGCTCCACAAACGTCCATAGGTACCTTACATCAAATGAGAGCATTGTTACTGAAGTTTCACCACTCGTGGCACCTAAGATATTTGCCTAAGTATCCATAGGACCAAGACCTCAGAACGAGTTTAACGTAACAGAAAACAAAACAGAAAACTTTGCTTCCTTACGCCTGATGACAATAAAACCAAGCTAGCAATTCCCTGCTTCAGCAGCTTACAGGTGCGTGCCTCCCTCCTTCCTGAAAGCTAAAGAGACACAAACACAATGCATGTTCTGAGATGAAAATCTAAGTGCAGACTAAATCCTAGCAGCGTGCTGAGCAATGTTTCCATAGTCACTGAAACAAAGAAAGAAACCATCCGTTCTTGTGTAAATGCTTCTTATTTTTCTGAGGCTGGGAGCACTGAGACAAAACTTTTTCGCTGTTGTTGTTGTTCAGATGCAATTCACCTGCCTAGGACATAGAAGGAAACATTCCATGCACTAAATCCACAAACACTGCATTTACTGGAACATATGTTCATATACACACCGACTGCACACATGCTTGTGTGTATATACATATGAAAACAACACTTCTAAATGAATACAAAATGAAATAAAAAATGTTAAGATTGAAGCAGTTTGATAGACAGAAAAAAATCCGACTTGGAAAAGACAGCTCAATACAATTCTGTAAACACTCAGAACTACAGCAAAGCTACAGCTGTCCATCATCAGGTTTTTTGTTTTGGGTTTGCCTTTTTGGACTGTCTAAGGTTTCTAGTGATCTTCCCTGTGTTCAAACAAGGTACTTCATATTTCTACTGGAAAACTACAAAGCAATCGAGCACAACTGGGTAAGTTGCAAGCCTGCACGTATATAGGAAAGGAGAGACACGGATACTTCCCAGAGTTTGCAACTAGAGAAATCTGGCAATATTTATTAGAAAAGTAGTTAATATTAGCCACTTCTCATTGATCAACACTAAACACTTTGAAAATTAGACCACATAAGCTCTTACCATGCGTCTCTTGTTAAAATACTATTTTCACTTTGAATCCAAGCCAAACTAATAAAGAGTGTCTGGATTATGAGACTTAAGGTAGAAGATGATTATCAAAAATACGTCAGGAATTTTTTTAAACCATCATAACTTACAACTATATTCTGTAGCAAACATCCAGGAAAAAGCTCCTAGCACTAGGTTAGAGAGCAAGAAAACAATTTTTCCATTTGTACATTTTAGGTAAGCTTAATATTTGTATTCTAGCTTTCTTTACTTACATGCTTTTTTATTTGTTAACCTGAGCATGTTCTGTGAGAGCTGGTATCTTGGCTGCTTAGTGTACCATTTTCAGCTCTGAAATACCTGAGAGCACACTGTCACAGACAGCATCCAACCCACAAAGAGCAAGACTACTACCATTTCAAATAGATGTAAAAACATCCTGGCGTCCTTCAAGGATTAAATACTTTCAGAGGTAACCACTGAGTGTTACATGCCCTTTCAAACACCACTCCAAAACGGGAAGCCACAGACCACTGCACATTCTATGTTAATTAACACATAATACATACAAGTTGGAATAAAAAGCAAGCACAAAATGGCATGTATGTATGCTCTAGTCAAAATTAGTTATGACAAGAAAGTGAAAAATTCAGGAAGAGAGGAACCTTCCCCAAATCGAAGCCAAGTATCTTGGAGTGAAGATCACAACGTCAACACAGATTTTAAAGCTGTCTGGGGTTATTTTTACACATCAGTCTGTCACGAAGGGCAAACAGAACAGGTAGAAGACAGCAGGTAAAGCTAAATTTGTACTATATATTTTAAATAAAGCCAGTAAGAAATGTGCCTTTCTTCTCCTCTCCTCAAGAATTGTATAGGCTTTTTAAGGACAACAAACAGACCTGGGAACAGCTAGGCAGGTTTTCACAATGCTGATAGACACAGATACTTGGAAGTCTACCAGCATATTTATAATGCTCTGAAGTATACGGGATTCACTACACTTACTTCTATTATTTATGTTCTCTTTAGGGTCATGAAAACATGAGCATTTTCACCCTCACCTACACCAAACTTTGCGAAAGGACTATGAGTACTGCTGTGCACCCTACACTGGGCTTACATCGCAAGGCTTTGTAGCAGAGGGGACCCAGGGATGGATTCTGAGCAGAGCCCAAGAGCTGCTTTGTGTCAGATCAGAGCTCGGGAGCTCGGCCAGGCAGAGCCAAGTCAGCGAGGAACACCGGTCAAGCCTCTGCAAGAGTAGATGTAAGGAAGGGAAAAACTGCTGTGCAGCAGCAGACAGGGGAAAGAGGCGAGACGAGAGATGCAGCCCTGCAGGCACCGAGGTCAGTGGGGAAGGAGGGCAGGAGGTGCTCCAGGCATGCAGCAGCAGCTTCTTGCAACCCCAGAGACCCACAGAGGAGCAGGCTGTCCCTTTGCAGCCCACAGGCACCACGCAGAGCTCATCTCTGCCCAGGGAGACCCCCTGCAGGAGCAGCCCAAGGCTGGTGCCCAAAACCTTGGTCACCTAGAAAAGCTTTCACCTGCAGACAGGACCCTGACACATAATGACACACCTCACCTACTGGCATCCCTAAGCAACTGCTCCAGGCAGCCATGCTTCTGACACAACCGTGGATCTCTCTGCAGCTGGCACGCTCTGAGAATCAAGTGTAACATTTCAGAAAAACAAGAGAAGAAAGCATTTCCATCCACCTATGGTAGGGACAAAGACTGTGATTTACACAAAGCTGGGTGCTTCAGGAGCACCACACCTATACTAGATCTGGCCAGCAGCTGAATCCTCACTTCAGCTATTTCCTTGGAGACCTGGAATTTTATTCTACCACCATTTTTCCACATTAGATGGTATAACTGCCACTCCTGTTTTTTTCAATGCTATTATTTCAGAATTGTTCTAACTATATAACCTCAGCTAGTAATAAAGACAAACGGCCGTACAATTACAAACAAGCACAAAGGCCCTCAGGGCTTTTTATGATCTTCATTATAAAAGACTACAGTATGTCCTTTTGCTAAAAGATTTCCATTCCAAATACACGCTTTAAATTGCTGAAGCAGCCTGTATTTGCAATGCAAATATCGTTAGGGCAGAGCCACAAGTTAAGGCAATAAAACCTGAACACATTCCAAGCATGTCAGGAGAATCGTGTAAGCTGGTAAGAGTAGGTCATACAGTAAGGCAAACAAATGCACAACTTGGCATGCCCGTATGTTTTTGTTATTATTTACTATTACAGGTATCGAGTACCAGCATGACCGCTTTGGTCTGTGCTCTGTTCCAAAGTGTGCAGTCAGAGCTGGACTTGTGACCCCAAGAACTGTTTCTTCCCCCCATAAAACATTAACACAGTACATACTCTGACAAAAAAAGTATATGGCTGTGAGCTCCATGTCTTGTCCACAACTGATTTGTGTCCGATTTTAAGGGCAGTAATGGACACAACCACACATGCTAATCTCTGCTGGCTGAGTCCTGCACCACATAATGGATGCAAAATTTCATAAATCAGAAAAAGGTAATTTAGCACATCTCTCTCAAAGGAGGTAAAAGCATTCTTAATGCTGAAATACAGCACCAATCTCTCCTGAGCTATCAACATGCTATCACTACCTCAACCTGTCACATGTGACACATTCGCTCCTGTTTAACAGCCTTCTCATTATCTTGGACTCCACGAGCCACACACAGCCACCAAGATATTTAAGTAGCACCTGAAATCAAACAACACGAATGCAGGGAAACTGAGGGCAGAACAAAGGTTAATGAAGCCACCTTGCCCAGAAAAATCTAAGTTAGATTAAGTCAAATACAAACTGGAATTACTTAAGTCACTGAACAGTTTAGGAAGAATGTTGCTAAGAAAGAGGTTGTAAAGAAGTTATTTCACAAGAAAACATAGCCTGTATGTAAGTTCTTGACCCTCTAACTTCTTCCAGAATACCATGTTTAGTTTGGTTAGTTAGTCAGATGATAAATGGTATCTTTGTGAAAACAATACATGAAAATCTACATTTTAATCACAGCCAAAACAAATAATGAAGTGATAATTGTGATATGTGTCCATTAGACGTGCAGTTACCACATGCAAAAACATCAGTGCAGTGCAATACTCTTAATAAGAACATTACAGAAAAGAACAACAAAAAAAATCCACCCTGCAAAACAATCCCCCAACCTTTCAACAAATACCACAATTACATGCAATAAACAAATCCACTTTGTCTATTTAAAAGTAAACCATTTATCAAGAACTATGTGCCCTCTGCAAGAGGCACATGCCTGTGTTTTGCCTTATGACCAACAGGGCATGTTCTAGGTAGGTCTAACATCTTGACATTTGACAAGTGTGTTAAGTCATTTTAAAATTCACTGTTATTCAAGTGAATTTCAATGCTCAGTCAACCTTTAAAAATATTAAACGTGAATAAATTTACCTGTCATATTTAAGGCCATTTTCTTTCACCTACAGCTATTAAAGATAAATGTCTTTAAGCAGGAGTTCTTACACCTTCTTTAAATATAAAATAACAAAAAAAAAAAATCATGATCTAAGAAATTGTAAAATCAACAATTTGGAAACAGGAGGTAAGAAACACACTGTAGCTAACAAAGAATGAAACATAAGGAAGACAAAGGCTTTTTTAGACCTCTGAAGTAACAGCATTAAGTTTTCTACTTGAAATCTCCAGGGCACTGACATGATCCTCAGCCCTCTAAGCAGGTATCCTGAGTTCTAAAGAACCAAGAACCAGTTTTTTTTGTATCAGTGCCTACCAAAAAAAAAAAAAAAAAGGCAGAAAAAGCAAGTATCTGGCAAACATCAGCATTACATGAAATTCATGTCATTTACAATAGATACAGCTATTCTAACGCAAAAAATGTAATACTGCTTTTCCAAAGTTGCAAGATTATGGACTGAAATCATTATTCAGCTGACAGTTTACTCTGCAAATACAGGTGGCTGTTCCCAAGCACATTTAAGAAAGTACATTAAGCACCCCAAAAGAAACTACATACCATAAGTTAAATCTAGTTCTATTACACAGTATGTTAATAGTAGATACATTTCATATTAAAATTAATGTAACTGCATCACCCTAGAATCCCCAGGATCTTCCTTTCCTTCTGCACAGCAGGAAATACTCTAAGTTTACATTGCACAAGCATTAGTCATTTGCAAACATATCCAAGTACTACAGAGTATGTTCATAGGGACATGCCGGTAGCATCTGAAGTATTATCCAGTTAAAGAAGTAAACAAAACTTAAAACTCTACCATTAAAGTCTCTATTAAACCATTAAACTCTACCATTAAAGTCTCCCAGCTGCACTGTAACTACTTTTAAAAACTGTTTGAAGCTGCCTTTGTTTGGAAGTGTTTTATTTCCAAAACATGCCAGCTTGTCTACCTGCTAACAAGCAAACTGCCATCAAATACTGCGCACAAACAATGAAAACATGCAAGGATACTTTCCTACACTCTATTAAAATTCTCTGAGAGAAACTAAAAATGATTTTTTACCTTGATTAAAGACGTGACCACAATTGCTCCAGCATTCACCATAGGGTTATGAGGCTTGTCTGTGAAATAAAGTTTTCAATTACATATATAACTGAAGACACATCGGTCAAACAAAGCCAGTCAAAGGTTGAAGTGAAAAATGATCAATATAAGATTTGGAACTATAACAACAGAATACAAACTTCAACTAGAAATATTGTGATCTCAATTTTTTTTTTTTTATTTTATTTTTTTGGCTAAGTATTTTACAGCTTATAACAAACTGCCCAATGCTACTTAACAATCCAGTAAACACATCGGTTTGGCAAGGCTCCTTGTCTTTAACCTCCTTGTCTTTAACCTCAACCTCCTCCAGTGATCCAATATTTGATCAACGTGGCATCAACAAGAAGAACCAACACCCCTAAGGGACTTGCAAACTTTCTCTGAGTCTCAGTGATTTTAAAAGCTCAAGAGGTAAAGAAATAAAACACCTCTCCAATTCTTCCATTTCCTCACTTCTGCACATAAACACAGCAACCTGAGTCTTCAAAAACCAGAGGTTTCTATGGCCTTCTTCTGAAATACAAGTAATTCCTTCCCCATCCTCACTGAGATTTAACATTTCAGAATTGACTTACACCTGCCACGGCTTAAGTTCCTTATTATAACCCAACTTCTCCATATTATCAATACTTTGGCATCCCCATTGGAAGAACCACCATCAAAAATTAAAGTAAAAAAACTTTCTTGATTAGCTGTCTACTTTTCAAGTAGTCTATAGGAGTTCTCTTTCTTCATCATCTATCTCCTAGTTCTCATTCTTTTTTTTCTTTTAAACATTTTGGCTTTTAAAACAGGATGTTGCTTTTTGAGGGTTACACTGTCTAAAAAACAATACTGTGACAGTTTCGAATTCTTCCTTTTATCTGTTGCTACTTTAACTCCAAACTTGTGGGAGGAAAAAAAGGAACATTTAAAAACATCAACTGTTTGCTCTTTTAATACGTAATACACGCAGTAAAATAAACTTGAGAGATTTTACCATTTCAATAGCTTCCAAACTCTGCCTCCTTAGGGACCAAAACCTCTGTGCCCTTTTTTAAGCTGCCAGAAGATGAATGACTCGCAGCATCTCATACTGCTGGTCAGAGGGGACCTCACCTCATGGAGCCTCCCACTCAGAGCAAGGCCACTGCTGAGGTTAGACCATGTCACCCATGGCTTTGCCTAGCTGTCTCAAAATCCTCCCAGTGCTGCAAACCCACATCCCTCCCTAAGTATCCTCCTCCTCCCAGGAGCCAAGTTTACCTTCCACCCCACCCACATTCCCTCAAGCTATGGATTATGTGGAACTGGTGACCTTCATTGCTTTGTTGGCCCCTACCAAAAGTTACAGTCATTTTCCTATAGCAGCAGCAACACATTAACCTCCCAGGAGAAGTCACCTGTAAGGAACTGCACACTGTATTACCACAAGGAACCAAGGCAGAGAATGCAATCACAACAGTTTGTGAAGAGGTCAGCAGACTCATCTGTTTATCTTCAAAAGAGGTATCAAGCTCTGAAAAGCTAACTGGCACAGACTGCTAACCACACACTAATCAAATAAAGGCAATCATTTACTTCTACTGAAAAAAAACCCACTGTTAGGCAGTGTCCCTGCAAGTCTCTTGTCTCCTCGTACCATCTCATTATATCTCACAGTAAATTCATCTTCCTACCCTTAATGAAAAGCACCACTTTTAACAGCCACTCCATTCCAGCTGGGATGCCCTGACTAAGCACAGCACTGCATCATTTCTCTTCTGCCTAAGCAACCTGCCTAGCAGCCTGAAGAGCAAACACACTGCTCTGCTACAGAGTTCTGTCTGTACTGAGGACAGGGATGCTTGTCTTCTACATCTTTTAATGTAAGGAACTTAAGGAATTTAACAGATACATCAAAGCTCAAAAGAAAACATGACTTACCTAGTCATATTAATTGTCTCCCCTGGACATCGCTATTAATCAGTGAAAAACAAATGTGTTCTTTATAACTCAAAATCTGCCAGACCACCAGTAAGATTGCTCTAGCAACGTGCCACACAGTTATGCCTTATGCAAACCAGACCTTCCCTTTGAGCTTGTAAACTCAAATTACACTGCTTTTCCCTCACCAGTTCTTATGACATTTTGTCCACCTCTGGCATTAAGCATTTCCAGCACGACTCCGGTTTGCAGCCTTTGAGCACAGGAAACAGAAGCTGCCACACGTGCACAAAAGCAACATTTTAACACACCAGACAGGTGTGCTGTGACTAGTTCCTTGTAACAAAGGCATCAGAACATGCTTGTGCAATGCAAAACCTACAGAAATCCACCTTTAGATGACAAAATTCCTCAGCAGCACAAGCCATTTCCTGACAGACCTCCACACGAGCACAATACATTTATTACTGCACTAGATTCTACCAAAATACTGGACTACATTCTAAGAAACTGTATCACTGGACTAACACTTCAAATGACCACTATCAAAAGGTCACATATATGAACAGATGACACTGACTGTGCACAGATACAGTCTTGTCAGATACACTTCAGTGTCAACTCACCAGCAGGAAGTACACTGCAAACTGACTCAATCACTATAGGAAGTTAATACTCCTGGTGATGTGTATTTCAGACACATTTTACTACAAGAAATTCCCAAGCTACTTGAAGCAACTTTTAATTAGCGTGAAAACTGCTTTAATCATATGGAAATCTGAACTGCGTGGTGAACTGTTTCCTTGATTAAAAATAGTTTTGAAATTGAATACTCACATGGCTGCATCAGATTCCAAATTTACATTGCACAGCACAGACCTTACCCGAAATATGAATGATGCTTATCAACACTTTTTGTTCTGTTAGCTTTTTTCACTATTTAAAACTATCTGAAATCTTTCCAGGAGTAGTAAATTAAGAAATACAAGAACTTATATATAGTAGGTAGGTTAAAAAAAAAAGACAACAAAAATACTTCAGATGCGTGTCTAAAAAGTTCTCAAATAGTTGCAGATCACCTCATAAAATCCTCATTGCAGACATAAAAACTGACTATAACAATTTGGAAGCCAATGGACTAAATGTACACATGGTGTGTTTGCAAACCTGATCAAAGAGTTATGTTAAAGCTGCTAGACATGCTGCATGTCCAAGCTTCACATGACTTGGTTTTTATATACAAGCTATACCCCCTTTTCTCCTCTTCCTCTTTTACTTGCAGAAATGCAACTCTCCGTGTAACTGACCTCTACTGTCTGCTTTAAAGACTGTATAGACCCAACCTGAGTGTGACCAGCCCTTCAGCTAACACGTTTCTCAGGTCAGCTCTACCACCCATACAACAACACACTTAATAAAAGTTCATAAAGGTTTGCATCACATGCATTAGTCTTCTCTCTTAATTTCATGCACTCTGGTGCAATTTCTAACAACCCCAATCCCCATTACAAGATTGTCTTAAGCACTCTTCAAAGTAATAGTAATGTAAGACTATAGTCCAATCATTCTGTATGTCTAAATAGAATTATGCATTATAGTTTGTGAATGTCTGCATCAATATTTGTAACACAGATAAAATTCAACACAGTCCTTGACAAAAAATATTTCAGTCTTATTAATTAAATATTAATCGGATTGCCATGGCAACAGAAACATTGTTCTTTTACTGGGAGAGAAAGATCTGCTGGAAGCATCTGTGTTTCAGAGATAACATCCAGCACTTCCTCTAAGGCTACATGAGTCATCTTTTTCAGATTTTTACCATAATGTCATTCAAAATAGCGCTTTTGATGCTTGTTTTTCAATGCCATTCAAAAAGAAATAATCTAGCTACCGTGCAAGACATTCTTGCTAAAACATTCCTGTCACAAACAAAAAAAAAAAGTACATTTTGAATCACTAGCCAAATTTAATTTGGAATCATCCATGGGAAGGCACATTGTTTTACTTCTGTACTAACCAGCTCCAGCCTTTGGCATCAGCACCTGCTCCTGACAGCACTGAGAGGCCAGGTGGTATACAGACTGCTTTTACATTTGTATGACAACAACAGTTAGACTTTAGAAGATAGAGTAAAATAAAAATACTGGGGAAAAAAAGGGTAGCTTGTTCTGTAAATGCGTTATTAAATATTAAGTAACTCTTACCATCTTCATTCAGGAACAATTTGTTGAATCTTAATCCACTCGGCTCTTTACCAACATATCTGTGCACATACTCTGTGCCAAGATCATTGACAGCAATAGCATATTTCAAAGGCTTTACACAGGACTGAAGACAAAAAGGAACTTTGGTATCTCCAATAGAATGCCTGCGAAAAACACAGATGAAGATGCTTAAATTCTCCTGTTCTCCAGCTATATTAAGTGCTTCATTCAGTTCTCAGCATACTGGGACTAGTCACAGGAAAAACAAAGTTACTTAAACTACATTTATACACCAGGGGAGTGCCCTGTCTGTAGCAGAAAGGTTGGAACTCTAAAAGGTCCCTCCCAGTCCAAACCATTTTATGATTTTAAAGAACAGAACAAAGAGGCTTTATGTTTTTAACAATCACCTCTATACAGTAAACAAGACAAAACTGGTCATTATTACAGATACAATAAACTGAAAGCTAATTAAGAAATAGGTTTGCACCAGAAGTCTAGTACCAGATTTATTCAGCTGAGTACAGTCAACCTGGATGTAGCCCCTTACACATAGTGATGGATATGGAAGCAAAAATGAGAGCCAATTCTGTTCTGGAACTATCAATTGAACTATCAGTAGTTCTATTCTCTCTGATAGTGCTGTACGTATTTTACTGAAGACATGAAATAACATCTTCCAGAAAGTTTATTTGCAACACCTAATCCAGGCTCAAGAGAATGAGTCACAAAAGCAGCATATGGCCCATTGAGAACAACAGGTTCCAAGCTATCACATGTCTGACGACAAAATCAGAACTGTTTTGGGTTTTTTTTTTGCAGAAAATCTGGGAAAAGTCCAAAGAAATTTACAGAAGCTTTCTGGCATTATGAAAATTAGCATTAAACAATATTAAACATTACAAAAGCTAGTATTGCAAAAACTCTCATTAGTGCATGCTGCAATATCCAAAACAATGCAAATGCTAAGTCAATATATTTAAGAAAATTCTTCACTTTTGAAACTTTTATTACAGTTCAGCCATTTAAGCAAGAAGCTAAAATGGTGGTAGAAGTTTCACTTAGATTAATGCATTTAAGAGGCACATCAAAAACCTTGCACAGCACTTGTTGAAGATTACAGACCTTGCAATATACAGTTAAAAAAAAAAAAAAAAAAAAGATAGTAACAGATGATATTAAAATATCCCCCAGTGCACTGCCACCATGAGGCAGCCAGATGACCTCAAGAGTGCTCCATTCAGCTGGGACAAACTACACACCTAAGAATCCTGATACTCAGCTTAGTATGCCTGCATCAAACACGTCATCAGGTCACAAAGGTTGACACAGCAATTTACCTCACCTCTCAGCTAGAAGATGTGAGATACTGCTTTACATTTGGCTCCGTTTTCTGCTGCACTGAGTCATTGTTCAATAAAAAAAATCACTGTAGCTATATTAAGAGCTATACACACCCTAACAGGAGACAGTTTGGTAAATCTGAAGCAACAACAACAAAAAAATCAGATTGAAGTTCAGTCCAGTTTCCACATATTCACTTCCTTCGTAAAGAATATTCACCCAGCGACAGTGGACATAAAAATAAGAGTAGAGTAACAAAGTAACAACATTACAATGCAAAAAAGTAACGTCTAAATCAAAGCATGGATGCTATCAGACAAAAGATCATCAGCCTTCAAAGATTAATACTACATAAGCATCACCTCTATCTTGTCCTCTGGTGATCACTGAAATTACCCTCAGCTTTATTTATTTGTTGCCAGCTCCTAATAGCAATATAACCCACCTCTACGGCGTAATTACAAATACTCTTAAAGCAACTCTTTATAAAAACAAAAATTAAGTTTGCTTCAGCAGAAATTTAAAACAAAGAAGAATAAGGTCCGAGTAGGTTTTACCTCTTAAACAACTCCTACAATGCTTTTTCTTTATTAAAACATGAGATACCAGGAAGTGCTGCATCTATCAAACAGTTCAATTTCCTGAAACAGCAAAATTTCCAAGATAAAAATATACCTCTGCCCATCCACTGTGCAAAGTGACACACCCCACAAGTCAGGGCTGAACTTGGCCAGCTGTGGAATATAGTCAGCAACCTATCATAACAAAAAACAAAAAGAGAGATGTTACATCATCCAAAATATTTAACTGTATGTTAGCGTATGTCTATGGTAATAACTGCACGTGGTGAGGATGTGAGAGGTACTACTGTATTATCCCAAGTCATCACAAAGCAAACCTAAGAACTCTTATAAATTGTTATACTGATGACATTATCAAACGGAGTATTTTTTCCAATGGAAATACATACTTCAGCAAAAGGGGATTATAAACACAGGAGGGGAATCAACTTTTCACTTGGGTAGATAGTGATAGGACAAGGGGAATGATTCTAAGTTGAAGGAGGGAAGGTTTAGATTGGATGTCACAGGGAAGTTCTTCACAGAGAGATGGTGAGGTGCTGGAACAAGCTGCTCAGAGAGGCTGTGGATGCCCCATCCCTGGAGCTGTTCAAGGCCAGGTTGGATGGGGCCCTGGGCAGCCTGTTCTGGTACCAGATTCAGAGCTTGGTGGCCTTGACAGTGGCAGGAGGTTGGAACTTGATGATCCTTGAGGTCCCTTCCAGCCCAAGCCATTCTATGATTCAGCATGTTCTAAGACCAACCCGTGTCCAACTTTATGGCATATTTAGGATTTTCAAATAACAAAACTCTAACGAAGTTTGGAGTTTTCAATTAACCACTGAAAACAAGGACTTGTAAAAACTTGAATTACTAACCACAATACAGTTAGCACTTAAAAGCTGTGCTACTTCACACAACTGAAGGCTGTAGGCTAGAAAAACAGTTACAGACAGCCTTAGTAGCAAGTAATACAGCAGCTTTATAACTTGGGTAAAATTAAGAATGACCAACACTATTTTGTGTCTTCAGCTCGACAACTTTAAAAGACTATCAGAGGTTTGGAGCTGCATTTTTATCTTAGTTTACAAGCTGCAAACAAATTGAACTTTTGCAACTACTTGCATCAAATTATCAGTTTCACATTCTGCTAGAAACGTGAAGAAAAGCCCCCTACTTGAAAAGGAACAAACAAATTTGGTCAATATCAAGAATTCTAGAGAAGCTTCAAGTTGAACTTATAGGCAACGTTACCTTTCCTCCAGATTGTTTTTTAGCACTTTCATAAAGCTCATCAATGTGTGAAGTAAAAGACATAAAATCTGGGATGACAAACTTCCTCCTGAAAGCTTGAGTAAGCAATACAATGTTACTTTGTACACACCTGCAATAAGTCAAAGGAAAATAAATATTAGTAGTTGGACAAAAAGATGACTTGCTTAAGCAGCATGCAATTGCTTCTTAAGGACTGCCAATCCCTTTAAACTTTTTTTGTGTCTAAAATAGTAGGTCCTCATTAGAAGGAATTCTTCATCCCTATTTTAAAAAGTTATTTGTAATTGTTTTAATACATTCACTTCTATGCCATTGTAGTTTAAACTCTTATTTCAACTGTGGGGTTGTACAGCAAAATACCATCAATTTCCCTTCAAGTAGGGCTTAAGCCACCCAGTCCTTCGGACCAACACAAGTGAGAGTTTCCTTACTTCCCCTTCAAAGGAGTGCTAATGAGCAAGGAAGCTGCCAACACACCAAACTGAACTGAAAAACACGTGGGCTGTTAGAACAGAAGAACTGATTAAGTCCTTGCTAACATCTAAAACAAACATAAAATTAACACTGAAAAGGACTCAAAGCCTCTCACTTCAGACTACCACCATTTCTGATTTCTTTTAACCTAGAACACAATCACCTCATCGCCCATGCTCTCCAAACATCAGCCCATCGGGGACATTTACAACCAACGAGGTAAAATGGAAAGGACTTGATACAGGAGGAACAGCAGAAGTGGAGGCTGGGAACACAAGGTGAGACAAGCTGTGCTAAGTGCTGTATCTGTGGGTGGGGTGAATGGCAGCAGAGGATGAGAACTGGGAGCTGTTATCACACCGTTAAAGCACAGCCGATAAAGGAGATTAACAGCCCCATCCTAGTGCAAGAAAGAGAAAGGCAGGCTTAACAGCAAATTAACACATCTGTAACGTTCCTACTGCACTTTCTGGTAGTGTTCATAAAAGCAGAAGCAGGCTGTTATTTCAGACAGATGAGAACTCAAGAACATACAGGGCTCTACTAGGAAGGAGAACTTCATTCTTCCAATTAGGAGTAACTCATAACAATTAAAGATTACATCACTTTGAACACTACTTCAGTAATCCTATGGTTAGAAGTCAACACCAGGTCAGAATAAAGTTGCATGCAGATGACTGGGCAGATGGAATATCCTCCCTTTGCACCCCCTTCCCTTTTTAGAAGCTTCACTTTCACTCTGAACTCCACTGTACTTTAAATGCCTTACAGCAAATTCAACTGACAACCATCCCAAATGCTGGTCTGCCCTTCCCTCCAACAGAGGAAGAGAAACAGCAGAGAAGTTTCTTGTATACAAGTGGGCAATCTGAGAATTGCTCCGCCTGTAATAAACTGTTAACCTACATTGAAACAGCAGTTTCAGCTGGTTTTGTTGTGATTTGTCATGCTCGTCCCCTCCCTTTTCACACAGCCTGCCAAAACCCTGCCCATTTTTGTTCCCAGCAGTCTTCCTGCAGGTGGTTCAACCCTTTCTCAAAAGTAATTAAGAGCAATTATGGCAGCCACGTGTGCAGAAGGAAAAATATACACGCACATTAGGTTTAACTTTCAGATGCATTTCAGCACATGATCTGCATCACACAGAAAGCATTAAATACTCTCATTAGAAAAAAAAATGAAGTTAATCTAAATCTATTAAAACAGGCCAAGAAGTCAGAGCATGAGCAACATGACAGTAGGAAGGCAGCATACGCTGAAACACTCCTCTCATATCACATAACACTGCAGAAAGGGCATTTTTATACTCTCCAATTTACATCAAGTCTCACTTAAATAATTCAACTGCTTTAAACTAGGCACTGACTGCCGAAATGGCCATGCTGGTTAAGGACTTCACTGCATTTCTTTAACTGCCAAGATCAGCATCTCCTTAATCCAGGCAAATTGTATGAATTGAGGCACTAAATACAGGGGTTTGGTTCATCTAGCCAAGTACTGCAAACGACTACTGCATGGACAGAACAGCATAGGTCTCAGTGAGCTGCAGTTATGCAGCACTGATACTTTCAATCAATAGGGGACATCCATCTTGCCAGACTCTAATATTCCACAGCTGACATCTCCCCAGTGGAGCCTATAGATGGTTTATGTTCCATGTTACTCTTCAGAGAAGAATGGCTCAGAAGTAATGGAGCAGCATGAAAACTTCAAGAACAAAGTAGACTTTATTACATACTGCATGTATGAATAGTGTTTAAGTTAGGAGTGCTACCTTCCCATCTCAAATCTCTGTTTTCCCAAACTTTTTACTATCAGCCTAACAACGCAGTTGGGTTGCAATACCACCACGTTGCTGTTCACATGAGCGAGAGGTCAAAATAAATCTAGCTAGAAAAAACACAAGTATGGTTAGCAAGGACTCTGAATAACCTGCAATTTTGTCTATTACTGTCACGTGATGCATTTGCATGTGCTTTATCAGGGATGTGCAATTCAGAGCAACGCACTAGCATTGCACTTGAACAAGCCACTTTCACTCAAGGGTAAACCAGGGATTAAGTTCAATCAGCTCCCATCAGAAAGATGGATGAGCAAAGAGAATAGAAATTCACACATGACTCTCTCTCTCGTGAATATTTTCGTGACAAGTAAGAAATCATCACATCTGTTTTCCAAAACAGGTTTGTAACTGACTTGCCTACTTCATCCCTACAAAGGGCGAAACTGTCAAGCTTACAACACATTTCACCTCAACCCAGTGCCCTTCAGCTCCCTGCTTTCTCCACAGTGCTCTAACAGAACACTGGCATTCAAGTCCTACGATCTGCATCATTTGGAAGCCATGGCTCGAGTTTCAACTTCTCTTAAAAAATATATACAGGCTCGTAGCATGAAATTATGTTCATTTTATTTCTTTTGTCATGAAGCTTGTTGTGTTTAACCCTTCTCTTTAAAATTCTGGCTCCCAGTGCTGATTATTGCTTTCCTAAGCAAAGTAGATACCTGCTAAAACGAGATACTCTGAACTCATGGATTTAGAGGAATCGCTAGGCTAGCTATACAGCAAAATGGGATCTGGGCAAATCTTTTCGATTCAAAAAGTGCAGTATAAACAGTATGTGAAGCTCCAGTTCCAACTAGGAAGATGATGTCTGTGAGGTGTACAATATTTAGACATTTTAGAAACAAATAAGTGCAACTCCAGGAAAAAAAAAAAAAGAGGTATTTATAGTAATATAGCAAAAGTCCTCTACAGTTTCTATCAATAGCTTTTTATTTCCTCAAACAAATAGGAAGAAAGCATCTATTAATACCTGGGTTAAGTATGTCTGATATTAAAGTTTTCCCCAGGATTTGCTGCCCAGAATTAGAGAGCAGCACAGCTGTTCCACAGGAAAAGATAAGCCTGTTTGAGATCCAGTAACAGATGCTTAGAACAGAACAGACCCAGATTGCTGCTTCCCACCAGCAGATCAGAGGAGATTTGGCCATCAAGACCGCAATTCCAAGTCAACAGAACAGGACACGAAGTACCTTGTGACAAAGAGTACGTCTAAAAAGCCAGTTAATAGGAAAAAGAATGAAGTTTAAACTCATAACTGTTACTCAATAGCTACCTTCTCACTCAAGTTGGCACCCTTTCCAAAACAGCTCCATTACGACTTTCCCCTTTTTGCCATACACACTGACCAACGTATCACTAGCTCATTTGTTCAGCAGCTAAAGTTTTATCTATACACTTTCAGTAGTAACAAAGTTTTAAGAGTACCAAAAAACATAAAGCATACCACCAGCTAACTGGAATGCTGCACCATTTTCAGCATGCAGACTTTTCTCACCAGTGTATCAAGCAACAGAGAAAGACTGTTATGTTACATTATTGCAACATCTGCTTCAAGAAAATTAACAAGCCTTCTGGCTGGAACTGGGGTATCCAGTCTTCATTTCCAGAACCTCTGGAGACAGAAGACAAAAAACTGGAACTGTTCTAACTGTAACATGGAAATTTCCTCCAATTTTTTTGTCTAAGACGAATAACACCAAAAAGCCAGAAGACTTCAAAATAAGGCAATTTAAGTCAAATTCCAATCTAATAAAACCAGTAAGAAGGTGTTAAATCTTTTGTTACATCAAGTTTATGCTATCAGCACTCCCCATAGTTTCTCCTTGATGCACGTGTGTATGAGGAGCACTAGTTCTCAATTATCTGTGTGTGTGTGTGTATACCCACATATTTGCATTGATACATACACACACCAAACTACCAGAAGGAGGAGCCCAGTACACCATTAACAAAAAAAAAATGCTTGTACAGAACAGAAATATATCATCTTGAAAGAAGCAACTTTCAGATATAGCATCGTTTACCCTGCAAATGGAAGAAAAACGGACTCGCAAATAGACTACAAACTTCTCTTCAAGATTTAAGAGCACCTAGTTATAATCTTTTGGCACTCAAAAGCCATTAATAGTTGAATGAAGGAGTGTGCCTGTAAGGAACGGAAGACAAGCTGAACAGTGCTTACATTGTTCAGCTAAACAACCACAGACTTCTCTTAAACTATCACTAAAATAAGGCACATAAATCTTTTCCAAATCAAATCAAAGCAGTGTCTACGGTTCTCATCTCTGCATAGCAGTAGTTCAGCTTTGCTATTTTTCATACACTCATTTAGAATTACCTACATACGTGCTCTGATCTCAGTACCAAAATGCTCTGAACTACACAGAAGCAGCTCCCTGGACTTCAGATTAAAAGCAGAAAGAAAGAAAACTTATGCACTTATTGAAAATAACCCACATGGCATCCATTTACTTGACATGTGAGTAAGAGCTGCAGGATGCGGTCAGGTACACATGCAGGTAATGCTGATACATTAAGCACTGATGAGTATTACAACACCTGCCTTCTGCATGAAGCCACAGAAGTTTTTACAAAAATACCAACAGTAGGAGTGTGTGCTTGGACCCTTTCCTACTACACAACTATGTACCGTCAGTCTCCCCAGGACAGATGTCAGTAACACACAGAACATTCATTCAGAGTTGTACAGTAACACTGACAACAAAGCTTACTTTTTGAAGAGGTCTTTGTCCAGCATCACACCATCAGAAGTTGTTTGAAGGGTCAGTCTTAACATATCCATGCACTCTTTTAACCTGGGATCCGACGTACGTAATCCTGTAGATTTGAGTGCCTGCCACAATAAGTCAGTAATTACTAAAATGAAAATGTATGCTATTGCAAAGATCTCTGCTGTTCAGTCTCATTTATTAACGTAAAAAACTATGTGCCACGGCACCATCAACATCAAAATACTCAAGATATATACTATAGGGCTGCTACGGTTTGGATCAAAATCCACAGTGGTCCAACTGCATTTTGTCTAAGTGCAAACACCACTTAGCTGGGCCACAGACACAGAAGCTTTGAAGCATATTCCCTTGCACAGCAAATAAATGAGTTAAGAGCACAAGAATTCTCATTCAATTACACACACAGCATTGAGGAAGGGGAAAGTCATATTCCTGGTTGCAGCAACCCATTTGTAACATGGATTCCTTCATTTATATTCTTGCACCCAGAACGTTAGAAAAAAAAACAAACACCTTGTAGCAGGAGCTCACATACAGCACCCAGGAACAGTAAACTTACAGTTATGAATTTATGCACTGGTATTTTCTCTTGTCCTTCTGCAATAGTGTAGAAGAGCAGATCTTCCAAACTAGGAAGGAGACCTTGCTTCACTTTACTAAAAACAAAAAACAACACACACAAGCACAAATCAGTGAGTATTTTTGTTCATACGTTTGCATTTTTCACAAGGAAACACATTTTAACTACCAACGTAACTACTAGTATTCATTACAATGTTTTTTTTGTTTGCTTTTGTATCAATGATCAGGGCTTAATTCAGCTTAAGGTAGGAAAAACTGTAACACTAGAGGCATACATATGATGCTTTTAGAAACATTTCTAACACACACCTTTTTACTGACAAATGTCTTTCTAAGATCGGATTTGGAAATGTTTTGGAGCAGATTCACTGCATTTCTCTCTGCTTGATCCTACAGAGGACAGAAGTGCTACGTGCATAGAGGATAAAAAATGCCTCAGACTCCAAGACCTGCATGCCTTGTAACTCAGCTCAAAGAGCAGACTGATGCAAGAATTTCACAGACAAGAGAAGGCAAGAGGTGATGGGCACGTATTATTTTCTTCAAAATAGTCCCATTTTTAGGAACTCCCAGGAGTGCCCCGTCCTGGAAGCTTATGTAGGCCACGTCAGTTGCAGTGAAAGCAAGTGAAGCCATCTGCAGCATAATCCACTAACAGGAACTATCTCAGGCACCAGAAGCAGCAACGCAGACAGTGTAAGTTCCATGCAGTACAGATAAATCTTCAAACAGCCAGTATGTTTATCAGTACCATACAGCAGCCCTCCTATTCTCCCTTGTGGTTAACTACCAGATGCACTTCTTGTACATCTGTACTGGTTCCTAACTTAGCTCTCCATTTTAAGTGAGACACGAAGGAAAGCTATCAGATTCCACCCAGAACACCATGTTGTAACACAGAGCTGCCTCCTGCTCTCAGCTTCTCCTTTCTGTGACACCGCACAGCACCCCTGCAGCAGGTCACAGCACAAGGCTGAGTCAATCCCTTGGCTTCCCAGGAGCCCTGCTCTGTAACATGCAGCTGGAAGGCTGCTCTAGGAACCATGTGCTCCCAAAGGGCTACAGGCAACGGCAGCCAAGGGCTTCACATCTTTCCTTTTAATACCCTCAAGTGTTGACGTCAGTTTTGACATAGCCAGTGTAGTGTGTTGATGCTTCACAAGTTAAAAAAAACAAAAACAAGTTCCCCAGTAAACATAAGGGAAATGCAGAGGATGCAGTCTCACCTTAGGTTAGCCACTAATTTTAAAACTCATCTGTTAACATTGAGAATACATTGTCACTATGGTATAATACATGCAAGTTGTTGCTTGAGACTTACTACCTAACAGCAGACTGTCCCAAGGCATTTTCTCTATTTCTATAGCACTACGCACATGCACACGAGAAACAAGTGGAACTCCTGCTCAGAAGAGCCTTCCTGGGATCAACGGCCCCTCACAGCACAGCAAGGCTGCCTGCAGGGCTGGGAGCTGCACAAAGCAGCCCTGCAGTGGAGTGCAGAACGCGGGTGGCAGATGCAGCCCTGCAGATGGGTGCTACGCCTCCCTCTCCTCCCAGCACTCGCTTGCTGTAGTTCAACAACAGGTCACACTCATGATTCATTATTTTTAATAAAAACCTGATTATCTCCATATACCTCTTAAACGTACAGCAACCCTTCGGCTGCGCTCGCCTCCTCCCCTTCCTGCAAACTAGCACTTAGAACCAGCAGTAAAAACCTCACTTCTCATTTTCCAATGCAATACGCCGTACTTCCATACTCCGAACAGAAGACAGCTTTGTAAGCCCACAGAACTGTCGTTGTGTTCCAGCCTGGACTTTTTTTAAAAGCAGAGCTGGCTGACTAACACACAGACAGCCTGGCAACTCAACCGAGGCGGGCACTAACAGCTACCTCAAGCAAACGCCCTTTTTCCTCCAGAAAATTCACGTCTTCCACGCAGCACACCGCACTGCTCATCTTTTGAGAGCGGGATGCCCAGACCCAGCTGGCAAAACCAAACCAACCCACATGCAGATCAAACTCTCCTCCTGCAGCAGCATTGCAGCTCAGCAGCTATCTACTCGTTTTAGAGCCATGCAGTGTTACAGAGCCACACTACGGCCCTGAGCTTCACCCACTCACACGGAGCATTTAACTCAGCTCAGTGCTGAGAACAACTTGATGTTTTGCACAACATCTATGCAACAAGACTTGTTACCGGCGTCCCGGAGCTCTGGGAGAGGAAACCTCCCGGTTCCCCTTGGACTCAGGATTACTCCGAAGATGTAACTCCTGTCTGGAAGATTGCAGAAAAATAGACAAAAGCTTTAGACGCGTAACCGAGATTTTTATCTGCTTTTTTCCATCTGTTGAAGAGAGATGGAGCTTTCACAGCACAAAGTGAAATAGTTTCCATATCTTTCACATCTGCTGCTGTTCAATATTGGGTCAGTCAGCTCAATTTAACAACGGCTCTGCGCCGACTGCCAAAGCAAAGAGGACGGCACTTGATATATTTACAGAAAATTGCTCTGTGTCAAACAGTCTATCCTTTGATAAAGTTTATCGGTTAAACAGAGGTGGAAAGGCTTGCTCTGCAGTTTGTCAGGTCATCGATGTCAGTAACCCATGTTTGCTTTACCTAAAAGCGGTATTTTGGCAGTGAGCACACTTAGCAAGATAGAGTTATTCAGCGCAGGTTGGAAAGAGCCACGTTTTTCACACCCAGGGAACAGCCTGACTACAGTGGAAATTCCACTTTATTCCATTATGTCAATAATGGCTTGATAAATTAAAACAAAACAAAAAAAAAAAAAAGGAAATAACCTAAACCAGAGGTACAAGTAGCCTTCTTTAGCAGTACTGCAACCTGTGAGCTAGACACAATGCCCCAGTTTGCTCCACGCTGTTCCTTGTGTATCAAGACAAAAACAAGGCCTTTGCAGTCCCTACTCCTCCCCCAGTTTTCCCTTCTGCATCAGTACAGTGCTTATTCCAGACTCCCTGGAGGATTTTATTCTAATACGAAGTTCAACTATGATTCTAACCAAGAGGTTACGTATTAAATACGTGGCTGACTTCTCATTTCAGACAGTGCCTTCAAACAGCTGGACAGTGGTTACCAACTCATTTCACACAGGGAGAGCAAAAAAGAAAACTAAAAAAAATAAATAAAAAGAAAAAAAAAAGCCAACAAAATAAACAAGCCTTCTCCTAGAGAAACATTCCTACCTTCAGGCATAGCCAACAAATGCAAAATGGGATGTGAAGAACAAAACATGATATGAAGTCATATTAAGGCTACTCATGGATCACGTGTTACTAACCAGAAGACACAAGTGAAAGCTGCCAGGGTTGCCATCTGTAGCTCAGTATGAAGCCTGCAGAAGCTGCCACACCGAGTAGTGGCTGCTGTTCAGTTGGACATGGAGCCCACCAGCAGCAGCGGGGAACTGTTCACTTGAGAGCTCAGAAGACCCAGAGAACACCATACATTCATAACCTTCAGGCCAAAGACGTGGCCGTCAGATATCAAAGTGTTCCTGGTGAACTGTTGCTTCAAAATCTTACTCTGAGAAGTTTGGGTAGAATGAAAACTCCCAACAGTTTGATGCACCTGCATAGCTGAGCACAGTGAGATGAAGAGCTGCCTGATTAATGTCCAGTGATTCTACTGGAATCCAGCCTGAGTATGAAAGCAAAACAAATTCATAAAGTTATCTCCAGAATTCACCCCTGGCCTTGAAAAGCAGCAGTAGTGCTCTCTTGTGATTCTAAGACAAAAACATTACAATGGTAGCAACTCTTCTGTTTTGCTTTGCTGGATTCTATATGCTTGTACCAGCAATATTGTAAGTCAGCTACACTTCAAAATTCACTGTCTTGCTCCTTCCCATCACCTTATTACATGTCCACACAACTCAGAAGTAGCTTATACTAAGGTGAACTACATGTGATCCTATTACTGTCCAGCATACAATGCAAAAAGGTAAACACAGAATGAAAGCAGAAGTAGACACTATCTCATGTTACACAAGATGGTATCTGGATCGTTTACGACTGCGCTTGGATACTGCATTTTAAACACTTAAGCATGAAGCAATGATTACCTTCTAATCCACAACCTTCAGTCATCAGAATTACCAGTCAATGGCTGCTTTCTCAGCTTAACCTCAGACATTTCTTCTTCCCAAAATTTAACAAGCCCCAGGTGAGCCCACAGAGCGATGGGATTGCTGCCCTCCAGAGGGACCCTCTCCACCCACCGGCTCAGCACAGCAGCCCTTGCACTGCAGCCAGCAGAGCGCAGCCTGCACTCACCCAGGCCAGCTGACAGATCAGAAACCTGCCTGCTCAAACACTCCTCTTTGGCACCCTGCACTGTGTTAACATAGCAAAGACTTCTACATGTAAGGTACCACGTACAAATGCTTAAGTAAAACGTTTGCAACCCCATAGTGGAAGAATTAGAATGAGCGAGGCCGATGTGCCACCAGGAATTCCTGCCCAACCTGAACTGCAAAGAAACAGTTCCCAGTTCTTTTCTTGTTTGTAGCTACATGCTATAGGTTTCATGCAATTGTTCTTTGCTCACTGTGCAGGAATGCTCAAAGCATGACTATCTGACTTTCACACACTTTCGTCAAAGGCCAAAAATGCGATTACTGTTAACTGGTTTGTGACTATGCAGTCTCCCCACACGTGTCAGAAATTTCACAGCTCCCCTAACTGATGCTGATCAGCAGGAGCTGTTCTAAAAGCTCAGTTTAAGGAAATGTTACCTCTTGGAAAAACCACCTTCGCAACCACCACAGCTGCCATACTGGGGCTTTTTTTTCCTGCATGTTTTTGAAGGCAACGTGTATGTTTCTCATAGAAAGTGGAAGTAAGTCTTCAGGCCATGCCCACTTGAGGCACAGCCAGAAATGTTGTTTGTTCCAAAATATTACACGTAGAGCTAATTCACACAGGAGGCTAAATGATGAAAGATAGTTTAACTATAATATTTTATCTATGCGCATTATGTCCTATATAGTTCTCTAATCTGATGCACACGCATGATTAAGGAGTCTGCTAGCTGAAATAACAAGCATCGCCTTCACAAGCAGCTCATAACTCAACGCAAAAAAGGTTTGGCCCAAGCCCAGCGGCTCAGACATTTGGTGAGATGAGAGAGAAAAGACCAAGGGAGCTTCTCCCCCTGCCCACAGGGGAACAAATTCACACCAAAAACTGTCCGAAGGACAGCTACACACAAGCCACAAGCTGCAGTTCCTGCCTGACCTCGTGGAATCTCTTCTGACTTCCTCTTAACATGAGGCTGATGAAGGCATGGCTGCGCGTTAAAGCGAAGCACTCTTTTCTCGTCTCGCTTCCTCTTTGGCTTCTCTTCATCTAGATAAGAGGCGTGGCAAAGCCGGGGAAAGGAGCCCGGCATTAGGTTTTAATTAGGCCACCCCGGAGGTAGCAGTGAGAAGACTCACGGGCCACCTAGGAGACAGAAGAGGGGCACGTTCCAAGCACAGCCGAAGGAAACGCATCTCCACGAGGCCTGCAGTTATCCGTCCAACCTGGGGAAGGTTCAGCGCGCTGAGCTCGCGTTCAAGACACCAAAGCGGACGGGAGCGGGGGACGAACGGGGCTCCTTCAGGAGCTGCTTAAGACCAAGAACCAGTAAGGCAGAGCGCTGGAGAGAGTCGGCGGCACACAGCGTGCTCCGTGGCCGCCTCAGGCCGTGGGCGAGGGCCCCGCTCCGGGCTCAGCTGGAGGCACTGTGCGCTCCGCCACCTCCGCGCCCGCGGATGGACGTCATCCGTCATCAACGCGAGGTGACACAGACACCAATTCTTGCGAGAAAAACCAATCGATCGATCGACCAATACAACCCCACGGCACGGCTCCCGCCAGCCGTCCCGCGGCGGCACCCTCGGCCCGCCCTGCACCCGCTCCCCCGGCCCGCCGGGCGATCCCCGCCGACCCGCCCGCACCGTGCCGAGCCCCGCCCGCAGCCCCGCACCTGCCGGGCGCCGCCCGCCCCTCCCGCTCCGCCCGCGTGTGAGGAGGCCGCAGACGCTCACATGGCGCCGCCGCCGCCGCCCCGCCCGCACTCACTTCTCCCCCCCGCCGCCGCCTCCGGCCAGCTCCTTGCCGCCGCCGCCGTGGTTGTTGTTGCGGCCGCCGTCGGCGGGGGGCTCGCCGGGGGCCGCCGGCTGCTGGGCCCCCTTCCCCGGCTCCTCCAGGGCGCCCTCGGAGCGAGTGCACAGACCCCGCGCCGGGCCCGGACCGCGGCGGGCGGCGGGGCCGGCGCTCAGGGCGGCGAGCTGCGGCAGAAGGCGCCGGGAGCGAGAGCCGGGCCCGGGCACGGGCCCGCCGCCGGCCGCCCCCGGCTGGCCGAGCAGCCGCAGCTCCCGCAGCAGCGCCGCACGCCACAGCCGCATCATGCTGCGCCTCCGCAGACTGCCCAGCCGCCTGCCCGCCGCGCCGCTCGCGTCCCGCTGCGCCCGCCCCCTCGTCCGCCGATTGGCCGCCGCGGCCTAACTGTCAGGCAGGCGGCGCGACGGTTGGCTGGGCGGGACGCCGCTCCCGGCGTGGGACGAGCCGCCCGCGGGGCGCGGAGGGAGGCGGGCGGGGACGCGGGGCGGTGCAGCCCTCGCTCCGAGGGGGAGCGGCGGGCCCGCTGCGCGTGGCGGGGCCGGGACCAGGACCGCCCCGAGGTCGGCCCGCCCCCTGCCGTTTCCCTGCTCGCCGCCTCCATTTTCTGAGGGGGAAAGTTTGAGCGAGCGCCGTTCCCGCGGCGGGGAGGGGGCGAGGGGCCGGGCCGGCACCTGCGGGGCGGCGCCGGGAGCGCCCACGGGGTCCCCGCGGCCGGGTTGTGCCGTGCGGGGCCGTGGCCCGCCGGGTTGCCATGGAGACGGCCATTTCTACCCATCGCTTCTCGCGTCGGCGGGCGAAGGCGCCGCCGCCTGCCGGGAAACAAAGGGATGGGAGCGACGCCGAGGGGAGAATCCGTCCCCGTCCTGCAGCAGAACGCTTCTCCCTGCCCTGCGCGCGTCATCGAAGCGCGGAGCGCTGCACTCCGCAAGAATTAAACCGAACCGCGCTGAAACAAAAGCACCTGCACCCCAGTGGGACCTCGGGCACATGCCGAGGCCTTAAGTCAAAAGTTTCCATGCCAAAATGCGAATAATTCCAGATTGCTGAGTCTGTTACTGCTACGTTACCTTGCGAACCATTTACCAGCGCTCCCATCCCTGGAGGTGTTCGAGGCCAGGTTGGACAGGGCCGTGGGCAGCCCGATCCAGTGCCTGATTTAGCAGCTGGCATTCCTGCCCAGGGCGCTCAGACTTGGTGTGAGATCATCCCCGAGGTCCCTTCCAACCCAAGCCACTCTATGATTCTGTCATTTCTTTAGGTCTTTTCCTTGTATGTGGGGTCCGGGAGTTGGAGTTCCAGGTTAAATGAGTCTTGCTGGAAACTTTCGCTGTAAAAATCTTGATGTTTTAATTTCCTCTACCCTCATGCTGAAAATTTCAGCTGTTGGGGCACAGAACGTTCTTCTTAAAAACAAGTGGAACAGAGGGGATTTGTTAGTTGTTTTCCAGGCAGTCTGAGCTTCAGATGATGACTGTGTAAATACACATTCAGAATAGCCTTTGCTTACACTTACACTCTCTGCTAATAAGCCATGGGAATCTTTGGAGGCAGATACAAAGATAGCCGATATTTTATGCCTATAAAATGAGCCTTGGCTCACCGGTGCTTTTCCTTCCCCCGAACAAGGAAACTCGAAATACCAGCGTGGGATGTGCAATCCTGTGCTACAATTACTCCACATACAGAAATGCAAAGTGCCTGCAGTTCTCACATATTTATTAAGTTACCTATTGCGTTTTCTGGAACTAATTCTACATTTCCATTTGCTAAGACTTGCTGGCAACTTCCATCCCACACCCCAATACTAACGTTTCTCATTTTTAACATTCCTCATTGCATAGTCAGAAGTATCTCGGCCACTTTTTCCTTTCTTTTTGCAGGGGCTCCAGCTCCAAGCGCAGACAGCGAGTACGTGTCCCCGATGTGCACGTGGCCACTAAGGAAACACAGCCCTGCAGGCTCTCACGGGGCTCCACGCCGGTTTTGCCTTGCCAAGGTGATACTTGTGGTACGACAGCTGCACTCTTTCACACACCAGCTGTTTAGCAACTGACCTGATTGAAAATCTCATCTAATTCGACTCCTGTACTGTAGGGGGAAGAAGAGGGAGAATGCAAAATGCAACGATCTGGATCTTTCCTTTCAGTGCTCTGGTTTCTACTCAGAAAGAAATGTAAGGTTGTGGGAGGGAAAGAAAAAGTACTACATTGGCAAAAATAGTTGCCTCTATTAACAGTACCCTGTGTTACGCATTCTTGACCCTGCATGAACTCTTTTACTCATTTCCTTTTTCTGCTTTGTATGCTATTGCCTTATTCCTCTACTTAACCTTTTACTATCAGCTTCACATCAGTAATCTCCCAGTACAAGAGTTCCTCAATAAAGGTTCTCTTAAAACTCACTTCAGGAAATGAATTCTCATCTCGCCGGAAATTTCCATGTATGAGTTTCAGCTCCTCAGGGCAGAGAAGACAAGTTGCCCTGAACATGGTACTAGAAATACAACTGGGGAACAATGCAAATGATAAATATAGTTTCAAATTCACAAAGGTCAAGGGCAGTAGTGACTCATTCCCTCTTCTGAAAACTTTTGCTGCATATTTCAGGCCATCACCACAGGCTCTCGCTATTACTAAGCACATGAAGAATCACATGGAGATTCTCTCCCCTCTTGCCAAAGGCATCAGTATGTCAGAGAATCTTAATTTAAAGACGGGCTTTTCTTACTTTCAAATGAAACATAGAAGAGAGCGCATCAGAAATACACCAAGTTATGGTGAAAAGTGATATGTGTAAAACCTATCAAGGTGCCTCCGGTTTTTGTTTTGATCCCACATCTCAGTGAAATCCCCTTTTGACTTCCCTCTTGAACAGCATGATGCTGTCTTTTTGAGAACAGAAGACAGGCCGTCTGCTCCACCACTGTGTTTCACACGGCATCCACAGAGAAACAGAAAATTACAAAATTTTAATTTCAAAGTTCCCCCTAGCTTTGAGTCAGTTATGCAGCAAGCAGTAACCATAAACCAATGATTCTCTCTCTTCTAATTTCCACAGCTATGCATGTATTTTTGTAAAAAAAGAACTGCGAGAACCAATTAGACGATAAGTTTCTTCAATAGAAGAATAAAAATAAGAAATTGTTCTTTTAAATGGACTTTATTTTGAAGTATTTTCCTTAAGTTGTACTGTAGCAAAGTATGTGGAGTCTATTCCTCTCAAAATAATCCATGTTACAGAGGTTTCTCTTTCTAAAAGGAGCGTAGCAGCGTTAATCTTCTAGGAGAAAGGGCTCTGAAAAGCAGGTGGAAAGAGGTCTTCCCAGTTCAAGCACATCCACTGATAACAGCTTTCAGGAAGGTTAAATCCTCCCATCAGATCTGCAGGGCAGATCTCAGATAAGCAGCAGAAATTAAGGATTATCTTGACTACACCATGAACTGTTTACTTTGCTATTTTAAATGTTTGTGTTGACTCCATTTCATTGGTTGCTGGGTAATGCTTTCCCTGACAGAACTGAGGACCAGACACCCCAATCTTGATTCCTTTATTCCTGTTCATTCTAGCAGCAAACCGTAAGAGCAATTTTTCTCATTTGTGAAGGTAGCATAGCATACATTTGGATTACATTTTGACATGGTTCAAAGGTGCTTACCCACAGGAAACATTTCCTGTTGGTTGTACAGAGGATACGACACAGCATGCTCTCAGCAGAGGACAAGCAGTAAGTAAAGTTACTTTTTAATTAAAGAAAATAGTGGTTAAAACATTTAGACATATTTGCTCAGAAATCCAGGAGTAATTTACCTGGAAGGTAATAGCTGAGGGAGTGACCTCAAGTAAAAAGCAATAGCAGCAATTTGAACTTATCCCCCCAGCATGAAGCACAGTAATGACACCACAGCTTATTTCTCATTCTGCAAGTTCCAGCTTAAGTAAGGCAGTAAGGAATCAATTCAAAGGAAAACAACAAAAATATTCGGAGGATTTGCTGAGACTGACATGCAGAGAGACTGAAGGGGCCACAGACATTCCTAGCATGGCTAAGAGCAGACAAAGTTCTTTCAGGATAGATGATAGAGTAAGCAGGGAAGAGGTTTTCTTAAGGATGATCTGCAAAGACTGATGTAAAGGTGTGGGGTGAAATCAAAGAAACATGTAAAAGCCGTAGAATTGCCATATGATTTTGAATAAACTGGGAAGAAGGTGCTTAAAATACAAAAACAAATCTTGACAGAATTATAACCTGTAAAGCATGTTTCTCTTTTGACCCATTATCCTAACCTGCATATTGGGGAAGATGGTCTGTTAGCCACAATCTTTTCTGCTACTCCATTTGTTAACCCGTTTCCTTTCATCATAGCACCAGTGAGACAGGACTGTCACTCACCGTGCACATTGTTGTTGTAGTGCTTTTCAAATGCAAAACACCTTCCACATCAGAGGATGCACTTTTGGAGGCCAACAGCTTACCTGCAAGGAAGCATCCCTTGAAGCCTTCAACACATGGCGTATTATTTGCCCTATAGTACACCCAAATCATAACATTACAAAACCCATCCACTCAATCCACAACTACATTACATGTTTAACTCCGGTGACCCCTCCCAAGCTGCAGTCCAGCTCTTGACATCAGACCAGGCAGGGCATGGGAGCAAACCTTGACCTTCTCCTCCTGGCCCTGATCCTCAACTGCTAATGCTGTGCTAGCAAATCCAGTGACGGTACCATGCAGCACACAGTGTGCCACTGGACTCCAACCACGTTTAGTATTTGGACAGGGACTTTTGAACAGTTCCACACTGATACGTCAGTAGGGACCGCTGGTTTGAGAAATTGGTTGCAAAGGTGTCTTAAAAAAAAAAGAAAAAGAAAAAGAATAACCAAGGTTGTAAAGTAGCCTGGATTAAGCAGCTGCTTTTGCTAATAGCTTTCTCAGTGGTTAAGTGTGTGTGCATTTATCCTAACTCACAAGTGACAATCAAAATTCTCCTGAGTGAATTCTGGTGCATTTGAAACAATTGTGAAAGCAGAAGGTTTGTGCTTCAGAGGTAACTGCTGTCACAGAGCATCTTCCTGTCGTCTTAACTACTCCATAGCACTCCATCTTCTCATACACAGCTTGGAAATATGCACAAGAAAAGATTCTGCTTTTTAAAGGGTATTTTTAGCCCTCAGCATAGTTTCCATAGCAGTATTAGGCCCAATTACGTGGGCTTCTGCCTCGCTTGTCTGGGCTCTGCTGTGGAAATTGAGAGTGTTTCAGGCACCGTTACCTTGGGAGGCAAAGTCTCTCCTTCCCA